TTGAAACTCATTAGAGATAAAGGCGTGTCGTGTTAAATTTTAGTGGAGTTGGATTCATTTTTAAATATCTTGACGAAACTTGTCTTTAGAATCACTCATGCTACAACCTTGTGAATTTTGTGGTCCAAATGGTAGGAGACAAGCATTGATTATGCTCATGCCCTTAGGAAAGCCAATTAGGTGGTAGATTATATGCCAAGAGATGTCTTATTTTATTAGAGGGGATGCATACTCCCCTAGTTTAGGTTTACTTTACTTTGCTCATAGTCTACGTAACATCTTATTTTTAAAAAAAATCAATAAATTGGAATAATTAGAATAATATAAGAGAAATAATTTTTTAATTAAAATAAGATGGAGATAGATAAATCAAAAGATTTTGGACTAGCCTTTAGGTCCAACCTAGAAACTAACTCAAAAAAAGAAAAGAGAAAGGAGGTTAGGTCATTACGCACCTTCTAAAAAACTTAGAACACTTGCAGGAGAAGACTTAAAGGAGATTAACTCAGAAGGCACAAATTAGCGGCAAGAGATATCGAAAGAACATCAGTCTATGAGAATGCATTCCGAGGGATAGAGTTATTGTGTATGAAATTGAGGGTTTTAGACCGAAATCTGATGACTTGATGAGAGAAATAGTTATATATAAGAAGCATGAGAGAAAACTTTAAGACCAATCACAAAATAAATGAATTAACAAACATTGATTATTATACAATATATGTTGTATATTACGATTATATATTATATATTGTTATTATTGTAAATATATATTAATTTGTATAGATTTAAATTTTGACTAAAATTATAAAATTAAATTTTGGTCCACTAGTGTTTAACGTAATTATAATATATTATACTAATATATTTAATGTGTAGGGTTATAAAAGTAAGGACGGAATTACGTTTATAGTTGTGGGGACAGTTAACCCCACTAACTCTTCAACTTCTTTTATTCTACTATGCATATATCATTTGCATTGTCGGTATACTTAAAAGAAATATTACCTCTACTCTTTTTTTATTAATCTTTCTTTTTTTCTTCAAAGTTCATTATCAAATAGTATATTTAAAATTATAACTTTTATATTATTTATTTTATTTTTATTTTAATAGGAAATTAAGTATTTTTATTTACTCATTTTAATTTTATAGTTTAAAAATATTGCATTTTATGAACATTATATTAGTTAAATGTTTGTTTAATAACTTATATATATAAAGAATTTTAACAATATCAAAAATGAAGAGTTAGCCAATGATAAACTAGCTGAAAACTCTTATAAGTTATAAGTCGAAAGTTGAAAAATTAAAAATTCAAATGTTAGTTGATTGAATTAAATTTTTTTATAAAATTAGTTAACTAATAAGTGTAATATGACATAAAATAGTTTTTATAATGAAAGTGAAAAAATAACAAGAAAGGTAAAATAATTTCTAAATTAAAAAAGGCAAAAAGAAAATTCAATTAAATTAATGAAGATATATAAAAAATGAGAAAGAAAATAAGTTAAGAGCTTATAAGTTATAAGATATTTCAATTAAATTATAAAAGTAAACTATAAATTCTTAAAATAAGTTTTGTACAAAAATTTGTACTAAATAAGTTTATTTTAATCAAACTGGCTTATAAACTAGTTAAAAGAGCTTATAAACTCCTAAAATACCTTCTCAAACACATATGAAAATATTATTTAATGTTTTCAAAATATGAAAACTTATATAAAATAATTATGATATATTTTTTTTGCTAATAAAAATGTTGTATTATATTTTGAATGCTTTAAATTTATGATAAATATTATCTCTACTATGATTCGTTATAAGTATAGACACATGATCTTGCCAACATATTCACATAAGCAATACATTTTTTCTTTCAATATTCACATAAGCAATATATTTTTCCTTTCAATTTCTAATACTCTATCACAATCATGAGAGTCTCAATCTCTTGTCTATTTTTCATCGTTCTGCTATCTTTAATGCAAGATTCTATACCTCTCATTTAGACGCTCCAGTTTAGATTTGGAAAGAAATGTTTACACAGACACATTCTTTAAATATATTTTTACACCTTGAAAAATTATTCTTTACCTTTCAATTGGAGACATTCATCAATAAAATAAGATAAAAAAAAATTAGTCTTTATCTTTCGGTTGGAGACACTCCTCAAAAAATTGGTCTTTACCTTTTAGTTGGATGCATTTAGCAATAAAATAAAAATAAAAGAAAATTAATCTTTACCTTTTAGTTGGAGACACACCTCAAAAAATTAGTCTTTACCTTTCAATTGGAGACATTGAACAATAAAATAAAAACAAAAGATTTCTTTAAGATTTGCTGTTAATCAATATAAAGGTTGTCAGCTAAGTTCATCATCACTACCACCACTATTGAAAAACTTGTAGTTAATCATCAAAAAAAAAAAAAAAAGCCTTAGTAGCAACCTTTACTTTTTTTTAGATGAAAATATAACTTTCATTGAAAATTCAATTCAATATGTTAATTTTAATCTAAAGGTTAAAACTCTCACATTTCTTATATCAAGACATTTCTCTCATGATTCTTATATATAACTATTGTGTGTGAATGAGAGAGTGAATGATTTATTATTATACACTCATTTTTTAGTTAAAGAATTTTAATAAGTTATAGCTATGATTTTCTTAAAATGCACTTACAGTGTACCTTTCTATTTTAAGAACAATTCTTCAAGTTTGTCCATGATGCTATAAGTCCACTAGTTTGTCTCCAAACCACATCGTATTGGGAGAGAAGACCTACTCTAATATCATTTGTAGATCCCTTCACATTTGATGCCTTAACGACAATATTTCAGGATTTTTCCCAACTCTTCGTTAGTCAAAGCCTTTTAGCAATTAGAATCATTCTTGGGTGGACCTATCCAAGATGTCCGTCCACTTTTTAGGATCAACAACTATCTCAACAAATCAACACAATACTTTTTTAATGTATATTGTCTTCACTCGCACACATTTTGGTAAATATTCTAGTAGATCACTCATCACTAAATTGTTCAAAGTCAAACTCATTTAACTATAACCAAAAAGTATATATATCTTATTATTATAAGTAGTATTAATTAGCTTTTTTAAGTCATCTTCAATTGTATAGCCTATGTTCCATTTCATTCAAATATGCCCTAGATAGGACACACAAGTTTGATTTATTTTAAAAGTAAAACCCAAAAAGTTTAACTCAATTGACTAAATAGGATGTGAGTTGCTTTAAATCTCTTGGTGTCAACTATGATTTTGATAGATAAAAAAGTTAAATGATAATAAAAAAAGTGAGATATATAAACTAAATATACTATAATAATATTAAATATTATATTAATTATTATGCTCAAATTTATATATATTTTAAATTAGTTCCTCTAAAATATATTTCGTAAATAATAATAATTAAAAATAGTAATTTTATAAATATGTAATTAAAATTAAAATAATTGCTAATATTTTATCTCAAGTAATAATTAAGGATAGAAATTAAATTTTAAAATAAGTGATTAATTTATGAGGAAAATAAAAAAAAATTGTGAATACATTTGAAGTACAATATACATTCTCAAAGAATCCAATCTTAAGAATATTGTTCTGGTATATCTAAAAGTTTCACATTACTTAGGAGTCGAGGTTAAAAATAGTTTATAAACATCCTTCCTTCATAATTTACCGAAATGTCTTTTAAATGATAAAATCGTGACGGCTCAATATCTAACAAAATAGATAATATCTCAGATGCGATGATCCTAGCAATAACAACATACTTACGTTAGGAACATAAATTATTCACAATAGGTCGTGTCATTTTCCAGAAGTAACACCGTGTATGACCCAACATTTATTCCTTTTCTACCTTTCTCCAACGACTGCTTCATTTTGGCTTTGCCAACGCAGCTAACTTTTTTAGTTCGACAAACAAAATACAACAACATAAAAAATTAAAAGCAAGATAAATTCCGACCTTAGCTCAGTTGGTAGAGCGGAGGACTGTAGTTGGCAACAAACCTAATAGAAATCCTTAGGTCGCTGGTTCGAATCCGGCAGGTCGGAGAATTTTAATATCAATTTTTCTTTTGGGGCGAAGACTGGCACACAGCTAAGGTTAATAACTAAGATGTTTATACATCTTTTCTGAGCTATTCGAATAATGTTAAATGGAAAAAATTTAGTTTAACTATTTTCATACTAATATAAATTCTACTCTTTAAAAATAAAAATAAAAAATAATTACATTTATTTGTGAAAATATTAGTAATTAATATTATATGCACTAGTAGAAGAAGAAGAAGAAAAAAAAGACATTTTATATCTCTGTATATTTACTTTTGAATTGTTTTGAAGGAAGATAATTGAAGGGGAAAAATAAAAATAATGTGATTTGAGAATAATTAATCGTAGAGATTAGCAAAGGTGAGAGTAGGTATTTTTTTTTAATAAAATATACTGCATAAATTCAAAGATATAGGTGTATAATAAAAAATGAAAACGAAAAAGAAGCTACCAAAATAAGTATTGTCTCAATACATAAGTACAGATACACATAGTAATACATCATCGACTATTAATTGTCTCAATTAAAATTAAATTTCTTTGCCTTATCCTACCTATAGATTAACTAAATCCCTCTAGAGAACTATTACTGGTGCCCCCGACACTAACCGAACCCAAGCACTTCTATTACTAGACCTACTTACAACCAATTTGAATAAACTCCATACACATTAAAAAGAAAAGAAAATATAAAAAGAAAAACTAAATCAACTTTTCCATAAAAATTTATGTATAGACTAAAATTAACTTATGTATAAATTAATATTTAAAAATTATGTCAAATTAGCCTCCAAAAACATTTTTTACTAGTACTTAAATTAATTTTAACTTGTGAAAAAATTAATTTTATTTTTTCTTTCTATTTTCTTTTTCTAGATAAGGTTATCTAAACATAATCTTATACTATAAAATTTGATGCGTAAAAATCATTTCATCAACCCTTTTCCATTAATTCATTAACACATTGACTAAAGGATTCGAAAACTGTCATGGGGTGTAAGCAAAAAGGGGCAAAAAGAATCTACCGAGGGTGTTATATAAAAGTGGATCAGATCACACCCAACTTTGAGCACAATGTGATCAAAGATGCAGCTGGATTCATAATAACGAGAAAAATACAGAAACACGACTATATTTCATTGGTAGCTTAGCTGGTGATGTTAGTATGTATCAGTTCACTTCTCATTTAAGACATTAATTGCTGCATATTTGAAGATCGTGACACAAGTGGGAATGTGAAGCACCATTCTCCAAAAGACGAAATGGGGGCACCTCTCTTGTTGCCTTGCTCAGAATGCATCCAACATGTATTCCTATTGACGCTAACGTTAAGTAAACATCAATCTTCCTTCAAAAAGAAGAAAGGAAGATACAATGGTTCAGTATTCTAAACTCTTCCCCCAAAGGAGGCTATTTACCTCGAAAGAGAACAGTTGTGTTTATCAAGTCCCTCATAACCTGTCTGTCACTATCATTTTTTTAATCAAATGACCAAAACGACTGTACATCTGAGGTTGGATGTAGACCTCCACTATATGGCCTTGAAACAGGTGACTTCCCCATGCTTTCCACAGGACCATGTACAGGCCATTCCTTTCTGCAAAATAAACAAAAATCACACCTTGTTAAAATAACCCCAGTTCTTCGTTTACAAAAACAAGGGGGCACTCACATCATTAACGTCTACATAAACACTAAAATTTGTATTAGAGGGGGAAAACCACAAGTTACAGAATCAAGGAGAATGAACACATCCGAGACAAATGTCAGTACATGCGTCATGCCACAAAGAACTCAAAAAAAAAAGGTCACAAAAAGCAAAGGGATTGAAACTTGAAAGGCATGTAGACTTTGCCATAATTTTACCCTAGGTACTAAAATAGATCCTTTCTTTATTGTCACTTCCATTATGATATTTTGTTTCTACTATTTTTTGGCTCCACAAGTTAGCAGTTTGACAATTTAGCTGCTAGGATATTTATAAAGACCATTTCATGACTCAATCAAACAGAACAGACAAGAATAGAACATGGCTTCTGTCCCACACCAACAACCGAATCACTTTTTGTCCCATATCAATGCATACCCATTCATTTCATAAATAAATGGATAAATAAATCAGCATATGGTCACACAGATGAATCCACACAATCAATTAACAATAAAGCAAATCCCATTTAACTAAGGTGTGTTTTGGAATGCTGTGAAAATTAAACTATTCTAGTAATTGATTATAACAATAATCAATTGCGATCATAATAAATTTTTATTTGGATAAGTTTACTAAAAAGTAATTTTGGGATATTTGATTTCATTTGGATACAACAAAAAAATCAGTTTTTATGAGCATATGATCACAGATGAATCCACACAATCAATTAACAATAAAGCAAATCCCCTTTAACTAAGATGTGTTTTGGAATGGTGTGAAAATTAGACTATTCTAGTAATCAATTATAACAATAATCAATTGGATCATAATAAATTTTTATTTGGATAAGTTCACTAAAACGTAATTTTGGGATATTTGATTTCATTTGGATACAATAAAAAAATCAGTTTTTATGTAGTATATCAGTTTTAGAATGATAAAAGTTATTGAAAAATAATCATAACCTTCAAATTCTAAGTTTCATGAAAACAACCTATTTTTCAAGAAAAAAGAATGTTTACAAATTTAAGCTGTCTCAAACATACAGCATAAAAATTTGATAAAAAAGAAAACAGCATAAAAATGCTACATTTGGAGCTAAATACATTTTATTCAGTATGCATCCAAAAATTTCCCACAACACAGAAAAAACAACTGTGGAAATCTGATAAAATTACCTTTCATATACGTCACTATGTGGTCAATGGACAACAGAAAAGACAATTATGGAAATCTGATAAATGCAGTGATGCTATATGCCCAAGAGGCCATCCATGTCAATTTATTTTATCTAATATTATCATATTTGTATTTAATTTGCTATTCCCAACTCTTCTACGATGAAACATAGTTGGGGATTACAACACAGTTTTGAGCATATAACTCCAGTCAAACGGTCAAATTATTACCAATAAGCACCAAAAAGTAATTCATCCTCATTTGAAACACATGTCTAATTCTTCTTTATAAGCCTATTTTCTCACTGTGAGAAAGAATTATAACTTGATTTAATCAATCTGTTCAAAATTCCCTAAGAAATAAGCAATCCTCAGATTTAATAATAAATAATTCAGCCACATAAAATATACTTTGATACGCTAAGTCAACAAGCAGCCCACAATTTCAGAAACAGACTACCAAGCAAAATTAAGATGAAAAACAATAAAGCCTTATCCCATTAGGAGTGTAATTAAGATGGACAACAACACATTATCCCATTAGGAGTAAAATTAAAATAAACATGACACATACATACTTATAGAGTTATAGACATATGCCTTTGTATTGGAATGTTTTTCTAATTGTCAGACAACATATGGAGTACAATGTTAAACTCATTGCTTAAAGATAGAAACCGAGTGCTCTTGTATAAAACTTCCACCACTAGTTAGAAGTACATTAAAAATAAATTTTCACCACTGAAACCAAAGATCTCCCCCACAAAGTATCATTACCTAGATAACATGACTGAGTCTCGGTGGAAACAAAATGCCCCAACATTCTCATGAACAATCACATTACTAATCAGTTGTCAGAGATCTAAAACTCATTTAAAAAAAAAGAATTAGAGGGAATAGTTTTCTCATCTTTTAGCCGAACAAGTTTCATCATTAAACTGGTAAACAGTAAAGATCCATATATAGAGCAGATTAGCAATCAATTACAGGACAAAAACCTAGCCAAACAATTGATACTTACTTTGACCAACAGTTAGCTGGAGAACCATCAAGCCCATGGCTACCTGCAGATCCACTAAGACTCCCATACATAATTTCATTTTCAGTAGCTCCCTCCTGAGATGTAAGGCCACCTGACAATGGCGGGAAGAGACCACTTTGTAACCAAGGATCATAACCACTTGGCCCTGTAACAGGACTGAAGTTCTCACCACTTTGGCCATTAGGAAGAAAAACATTTTGTGGAGGATGCATATTGGAAATTACATTATCTTCATTGTTAAAAAGAGAAGCCATAGTCTTTTGAGATGATGGAAGCACAAAATCATCGTTATTTGGTATGTTCCTTTGTGAGGATAACAACCAGCTTCCTGGGCCACCAACTAAACCTAAACCTTCCTGTCCAAGTGGAGAAGTACTCCACATCTTCCATGTTCCCTTATCGTTTGCAGATGCATCATCAAGAGGAAAACCATGCTTGTCTTGGTCATTGGGGGTATTGGAAAACCAATTAGAGAAGCTATGCTTTTCACAGGATGAAGGGGACTCAATTGGAGATAGCTTATTAACATCAGAACCAGCAGACATGGTTTTTAGAGAATGAGGTTTTGCCACTTCATTGTCTGTCCCAAAGCCAGTTCCCAAGTCCAACTGAAAATTATCAAGTGACTCAGAAACAGGCCCAAGCAAGGATGCTGGATCTGGAACGTAACAGGGGTCTTCAAACAGCTCTTGCTCATCTTGTCTTAAGTTATGTGATGTATTTCCAACAGGAGAAAAAAATGGTTCAATTGCAGGAGAAAAACCTAGACTAATACTGGCTGGTCCACTTGCATTGGTGGAAATATTAAATAGTGATGGAAGACCAAACTGAATAGGATTATTAAATGATTGTGTAACCGGTGACTGGCCAGATAACTCAGGGCTTTTGGCTTCTGCTTGAATTTTGGAATTCGGTCTACATATTACATTTGAATTTGAAGATTGAGGAACAGATGAAGATCGAGTAAATAATTGCTGCCATGACTTTTTAGGTGCTGCTGTCCATGGCTGTGGTTCAGGGAGTACCTGCAGGGAACAATTACCATGGTATTACTGTTTTATTAGTACCATTTTTCAATGCATCTAAGACAATCATATGTAAGTATAACAAGCAATTAACCTTAACTAGAGCATCATACAATTTTGTTCATAAATCTCAGACTGAATTTAGTATGTGAACTAATAAAATAGAAGTTAATGAAAAAGCCTTATCCAGACATTTGAATATAATACTAATTTGAAAAATCCACATTATAAGGACAACTTACAGAATGATTGATATTCCTATCATCTCCATTTGAATTGGATTTTGCAGATGAACGCTCATGAAGGCATATTTCTCTCCTGCTGCCAGCAGGATGAACATGATCTACAGAACTGCTAGACTTGTTTTCTTTCACCCCAGTGCTAGGAATATTAGTACCCCTGCCAAAACCAAATGCTTTTGAAGAGGACAAAATTGTACCCCGCATGCGGTCAAGATACCTTGTTCCAGTACCTCCTCGATTATAATTATTTGACATGACACTTTTAGTATGTGCATTGTCAGTACTCTGTCCCTTGCCATTATCTAACCCAGATTTCTGATGCTCTCTATGATCTATTTCACTCTTTTTGTCGAAGTCCCGCTTCCGTTCACTTTCCTTGCCAGCTTTTCTTTCCAATTCTTCAGCATCAGAGTTGCTCTTACTAGACCCTTTATCTTTCTCTTTCCTTTTTTCCTGACGCTTCCTTTCAGCTTCCTTTCTACGGTCTTTCTCCCTTCTGGGATTTAATGATCTGCTGTGATCTTTCTCAGCTTCCACTTTCTCATCTCTTAGTCTCCTACGCTCCTCCACTAACCTTGCAACCTCCTCCCTCTGTTTTCTCTCTTCCTCCTCCAAAAGTTCTTTCTCTAGCCTAGCCTGCCTTTTCTCCTCAGCTTTCCTACGTGCTTTTTCTCCTCTACTTTCATTAAGGCTTGCCCCATTCTCACCTCGTTTTGCTAAGAGTGCCCTATGTTCAGCATCAGGCGAACATTCTTCCCTTGAACTAATTCTAAAAGTCTTTCTCCAGAGCCATCTAATGCTCAAGAAAAAAGATGTCAAAAGCTTGCAAACCAAAAACAAAATACCACCGTATGACCTCTCTGTCAAACAATGCTCATCTCCTCCATAAAGACCACCATTCCCATTCGTCCTCCAGTTGCTAGGATTACCTGGAATAGATCCACCAACCCAATTACCATTCTCCAACCATTCCTGACCACACATCCACCCACTTTCAGACCAAACCTTGCTATTTAAAATCTTGCCACCTTTTCCAACCAAGTCCTTCACTATACTGGAATTTGAAATCCCCAACCCGGGTGGCACAGGCAAGTCTAAAACCGGTCTCTTAGAAACATGACCACAATTAAAACACATAAACCGACCCCCACCAGGGTTCTGATCTCTATATGGACTCAAGCAGTTACGGCACCGCCTTGTAGCTGTCTTCCTCAACTTCTGCATTTCAATAGCTTCAAACCTCTTCCTCTCCCTAATTCGTGCATTCCGCCGCACACGCCATGCCGACAGCCAAGGCATCAAAATCTCATACCAAAAGAGAGTAACCAACAACACGAAAACACAAGCCAGACGAGGTGAAGTAATCTCGAAGCGAAAAGCAGGTGGCAGAAGCTGAGAAAGCGCCCACAGACCAATTAACGGAATAACCAACCAAGGTAGCATTGTAGCAACCCGGCGAGACCACTTCTGAATCACACACAGTATACACATTATCCCCTAACCTAACCCTCTTTCTAGTCCAAAATATACCCTCTCTTTTTTCCAACAAAAACAAACGATTACAACAAAACCCTAATCCTGCGTTCCTTTCCCCCTCCTCCAAATCAATATCCGCCAGAGCCAGACGCATAAACTTCAGAACCCTAAATCTCAAACCTAAAATGACAAGGACAAAAAATCAGAATCTTCAGGAATTGATATAAATTACCCTATTGTAGCAACCAAGACCAAATATAGTTCAAAAAGTAAATTTCGAAATGGAACCAACAGCTATGTCGAGAAAAAGAAAGAGAGAACGATTGGGAGCTTCGTCTACGGCGATTATGGCATCAATCGAAAGGGAAGTTGAATGGGAATCGAGCACTCACAGACTCAGCATCAATGGCGAAAACGAGAAGAAGAAAATAATCGAAAATGCGAGCGAAATGCGATTGGGGCGCAAATGGAATGTATAACTGTTGGGAGCTGAACTGGACTCATCCGATTCAAGTCGGAGCCTCCGTCGCGGGTTGTTCGGTGTGTTTAAGAGAGAGAGAAACAATGCGAAGTTAAGAGAGAGAAACAAGATAAGAGAAAAGAAAGAAGGAAAAAAAAAAAAAACAAAATCGGAATAAACAATGTCACTGAACCATGGCGTGGGATAGATTGAACCGGAGTTGGTGATTCAGACCGGGTCTTAGTGTGGTTTTTCTGAATTTTTTATTTTTAGTAATCTCGAAGCGAAAAGCAGGTGGCAGAAGCTGAGAAAGCGCCCACAGACCAATTAACGGAATAACCAACCAAGGTAGCATTGTAGCAACCCGGCGAGACCACTTCTGAATCACACACAGTATACACATTATCCCCTAACCTAACCCTCTTTCTAGTCCAAAATATACCCTCTCTTTTTTCCAACAAAAACAAACGATTACAACAAAACCCTAATCCTGCGTTCCTTTCCCCCTCCTCCAAATCAATATCCGCCAGAGCCAGACGCATAAACTTCAGAACCCTAAATCTCAAACCTAAAATGACAAGGACAAAAAATCAGAATCTTCAGGAATTGATATAAATTACCCTATTGTAGCAACCAAGACCAAATATAGTTCAAAAAGTAAATTTCGAAATGGAACCAACAGCTATGTCGAGAAAAAGAAAGAGAGAACGATTGGGAGCTTCGTCTACGGCGATTATGGCATCAATCGAAAGGGAAGTTGAATGGGAATCGAGCACTCACAGACTCAGCATCAATGGCGAAAACGAGAAGAAGAAAATAATCGAAAATGCGAGCGAAATGCGATTGGGGCGCAAATGGAATGTATAACTGTTGGGAGCTGAACTGGACTCATCCGATTCAAGTCGGAGCCTCCGTCGCGGGTTGTTCGGTGTGTTTAAGAGAGAGAGAAACAATGCGAAGTTAAGAGAGAGAAACAAGATAAGAGAAAAGAAAGAAGGAAAAAAAAAAAAAACAAAATCGGAATAAACAATGTCACTGAACCATGGCGTGGGATAGATTGAACCGGAGTTGGTGATTCAGACCGGGTCTTAGTGTGGTTTTTCTGAATTTTTTATTTTTATTTTTTTTTCTAACAAAAAATATCCCTTTTCAAAATAGACAAGTTTTTTTCATTGGTAAAAAAGATTATAAAATAAATAATAAAATTTGAACTTAAGAAATAAGATTGTAATTCTAACTCTTTCAAACACATAAATCATAAAAATTAATTTTTTTCTCTCATAATAATTTTTTTATGTGTATTATGATAGTTACATAATGATTGAAAAACAAACAAGTTTAAAATAGAAGGAAAAGAGATTGAGATAACATGATGACACAAGAAGAGTGTTGTTATTGCTTCCTAAACTCAAAATAAATTCAATCCATTAAGTATAAAAAGTGATAGAAAATACAAAAGTATATAGTTTAATCAAGTAGTAACAAAATAATAGAATGTGACATAGAATAGGTCAAGCCAAAATCAACAAATTTTCACATTGGCTTGAATCCTCCCTTTTTCTTTATACATGAAACCAAAAACAAACATTCATAATTTTACCATTCAAAGTTGTTTCCAACAATAAACATTAAGCAAATTCAAACAATGCATAAACTTGTTTTTAGGAACAAACTTTGTGAACATATTTTTTTGGTTTCCTTTGTATCAATTCTCTAAACTATAATCCTCTTCTCAATACAAATGAAGTGAATTATGATATCAATGTGTTTAGTCCTTTCATAATGAACCTGATCTTTGGCTAAACAACTTACACTCACAATATCATAAAATAAGATCTTATGGAAACCTAGGATGTTGATAAGAATCTTTAACCATATTCTTTTCTTGAGTACTTCTAATAATGTCATATACTCTACTTTTGTTGTAGATAGGGTAATTATGGGTTGAAGTGTAGCCCTCCAACTAATAAGAGAATTTCCAATTATGAAAACATAATTTATCATAGATTGTCTTGCATCTAAATTTGCAACATAGTCAAAATCTAAATAGTTATAGGTGCACAAGATGTTTCACCTTTGTAGATAAGTCCAACATCAACTATGCTCTTAAGGTACCTAAATATATGTTTAACAACTTGTTGATGTTCCTTTCCAAGTTTACCCATGAACCTAATCACTGTACTAACAACTTGGGCCAAATTTGGCCTTGTGTAAACCATTACATACATAAAACTCCTAATTGCAGTACCATAAGGAACATGAGACATATTATTTTTTTTTATTCATATTGAGTCAAATTAAGCTTAAAGAGATGAATGGTTGTTGTCATAGAAGTACACAATGTTTTGTTGTTCCCAAAATGATTCACCACTTTCCGAATGTATTCCTTTTGACATTGGAAAAAGCTTATTTTGAGCATGATCCCTTATGATTTCCATGTCCAAAATCTTCTCAATTGCTCCCATATCATTCATATCAAACTCAGTGTCAATTAATGACTTTAGTTTCTAAATTTATTTATTTGTCTCGAGACGCAATGAGCATGCCATCAACATAAAGGAGTGGATAGATGTGTGAGCCATCTTCCACCTTACTATGATAGACACATGAATCATAAAGTTTTTTGTTGTACTCATGAGAAACTATAAAATGATTGAATATTTTATAATATTGTTTTGGAGATTATTTCAATCCGTAGAGAAACTATTTCAACCTACAAACATAATCTTCATTTCTTTACACCTCAAAACTTTTCAAGATTCATTAAAAAAAATGGCCAACATAGTAAAGATTGAGAAATGCACTTAAAAAAAACAATTTCAACCTTGAGCTTATCAATATGTGTGCCTTGTTGAAAAAACAAGGAATCTGGACACCTCTTTTAGGCCAACCTTTGAATATTGATAAGTCTTTTAAGCTACCATGAACAAAAATAGAAAGGTTGATCTTTGGTCTTGAAGACCCACCACAAACATATGCGAATGGTTGATCTAAACCAAGTTCATAATACACTAGAAGATGGGTGAGAGAACAAGGTGACTCAATAGAGTTTTGTTATTGCTTTCTAAACTTTGAATGAATTCAATAAATTAAGTACAACTAATTGAGTTTTATACCCTTCTTGCAAACTCGTTATATATATAAGAATGCATAACAAAAACAAAAAATACAAAAATATACAATTGTATCAAAATGTAACATAACAACATAATGTGATAGAGAAAAGGTCTAGCAAAAAATAACAGTGAAAAAATGAAACTAAATTCAATTATTTAAAGATGTGAAAGTCCATTTATCATTGTTCAAAAGTAATCTTTACACATGTATTAATTGAAAAATTACAAATGAAAATGCCTAATTTAGATCTCCAATCATTTTATTGAATATGCAATAAGGTTTTCTTCCATTACAATGATTTTTAAAAAGTAACTAAAATAGAATTGATACATTAATAGTGTGTCATTCATTTTTCAAAATCGTAATAATAAAAGAAATTGAGAAAAAAAATAAATAGGAAGAATATATTTCCCTAATAACTAATAGGTTTATAGATGAGTATTAGCAATACACTTTCTAACACATTTTTCTTAACGCATTCATTTTTATTGGTTAGAATGTATTGAAAATTACAAAATCAATCAAAATTTGTGTTTTCTAATAAATTTCAATCAATAAGAGAGAGTGTGTTAAAAGAGTGTTGTTAACATATTTCTAAAATATTTTTTTGATATAATTTTAGTTATGACATTAAAAAAAATCTCATATATATAATTTTCTTTTTAGAATAAATTATTTTTAAATGTTAAAATGATTTCATGATTTTTCATTTTAAAATTCAACTTAGTATACATTTTAAGTTAAATATATTGTAACATACATTTAGAGAAGAAAAAAAATTCTTCTAATAGCTTGAAGATTTATGAAATATCTTTGTGTTATATATGTTAATGTCATATACTTACTCTATACATTTGAAAAAAATATATATTTTTTATATATATAAGTGCAATTCAATTTAGTTTAAATCAATTTTACATTCTAAATTACAAATTGAACGGAACGACACATTTTAAGAAAATAAAAAACTGACAAAATTACTAATTTTCATTTCCCATCCATTTTCAATTTTTTTAAATCAGTTTTTAACTTTTCATTTTGGTTCATTCAATGTTGAACAGCCCTAGTTTTAACATGTCTTACTAATATAAATCCCACCCTTTGCAAAGATAAATAAATAATTATATTTACTTGTAAAATATAAATTATTAAAGAATATTATTATTATATGTGTATATATAATAAGTTATAAATACATTAAAACATCAACAACTGATTTTCTCATCATAATTTTAGAGAAAACACTGACCACTCTTTTTAACATTTTATTATTGACTAAACTTATTGAATCACATTTAATAAATTTACCTTAATTTAGCAGTGGAATCCCGTAAACTTATGATTTTGCACCAATAACTTAAAAAATAATTTTAATTCTCACTGACATTTCTCAAATTTAATTTATTTCCTTTATCCTACCTTTAGATAAACTTAATCGGAGAACTATTCCAGGGTGCCCCCTACGCTAGCCAAACCCAACCACATTCCGACGCCATTTATTCTAAAAAAAATATCGATGCGTAAAAATCTTTTCATCAACCTTTTTCCATTAATTCATTAACACATTGACTAAAGGATTTGAAAACTGTCATGGGGGTGTAAACAAAAGGGGGCAAAAAGAATCTACTGAGGGTGAGTTATATAAAAGTGGATCAGATCACACCCAACTTTGAGCACAATGTGATCAAAGATGCAGCTGGATTCATAATAACGAGAAAAGTACAGAAACACGACTATATTTCATTGGTAGCTTAGCTGGTGATGTTAGTATGTATCAGTTCACTTCTCATTTAAGACGTTAATTGCTGCATATTTGAAGATCGTGACACAAGTGGGAATGTGAAGCACCATTCTCCAAAAGACGAAATGGGGGCACCTCTCTTGTTGCCTTGCTCAGAATGCATCCAACATGTATTCCTATTGACGCTAACGTTAAGTAAACATCAATCTTCCTTCAAAAAGAAGAAAGGAAGATACAATGGTTCAGTATTCTAAACTCTTCCCCCAAAGGAGGCTATTTACCTC